AAATAAAGATATGGCACCCTGGAAATGACACGTGAAAATCCTTCTGGTTGTTGGCAAGCTTAAACTCGTAGCTGCAGCATGTACAAGACCCTCGAAGGCTTTGTAAAGGCTCAGCATCACCCTGTGTCTTTGGGCATGAGGTGAGAAAACACACAAAAAAAAAAATAAGCTAATTTATGAGAATGACCACCTCTTCTGTACTATACAACTAGTGAGGCTAAAGATGAATGAAAATCAGGTGATTCATTATATTTTTAAGTAGCAAATATACACCTGGGGGGGAAATAGTATTTGGTCTCTCGCTCATTTGGAAAGGGTTCGTACAAAAACATAAATGAACAGTGTCTGATTTTGACTGCAGCTTTATTTCAACAGAAAAAAAGGAAATTGCATGACATGAAAAATGAAAATGAATGTGCATTTCATTGAGGGACTACGACAACAAAAATCTAACTGCTATGCTTGCTAGCTCGGGTTTTGCCACCAAGTAAAATTCAACAAAAGTCAGATGATGTCCATCAAACTCCTCAAGTTTCATTTGCCAGAATCCATTGCATTTGGTAGAGAGGTGGCAACATTTTTCTCTGCTAGTTCGTACTTTTCCAAACAGGTTCTCGGTTTTCTTTTGGGCTATTCCACAGCAAATGAAATGAAATCATTGCACTTTCCATTCCTCTTCATTTTTATCCTCATCACAATGCAAGTCACCCATCACAGACCCCTCATCAACTGCATCCATCCATTTTCTGAACTGCTTTATCCTCACAAGGGTCGCGGAGGGTGCTGGAGCCTATCCCAAACGTCTTCGAGCAGTAGGCGGGGAACACCCTGAACCGGTTGCCAGCCAATCGCAGTGCACACACAGATGGAAAACCATCCGCGCTCACACTTTGGGACAATTTAGAGTGTTCAATCAGCCTGCCATGCATGTTTTTGGAATGTGGGAGGAAACCCACGTGGAGAACATGCAAACTCCACACAGGAGAGCCAGAGCCGGGATCGAAACCATGACCTCTGCACTGTGCAGTCAACGCGCTGAATCACCAGGCCGCCCCTTATTTCATCCATCCATCCATTTTCTACCGCAGGGTTGCGGGGGCAACAGCTTGAGCAACGAAGCCCAGTCTTCCCTCTCCCCAGTTACTTCTTCCAGCTCTTCCCGGGGGATCCCGAGGCATTCCCAGGCCGGCTGGGAGACACCGTCCCGGGTTGTCCCCGGGGCCTCCTGCCGGTGGGACATGCACACAGCACCTGACCAGGGAGGCTACCAGGAGGCATCCTAAACCTTATTTTTCTGAAAAATATCTGCTTTACAGTGTTTGAAGAAGTGGTTCTGACACTGTTTGCCTTATGCTGGACACATCCTTTGTGGCTTCCTCCATATTTCCTCCAGTCTATTCCTCAAATCGCCTTTTTCCCTGTTTCTGCTGCAATACTCAAAGTTTTGTTCATTATGTCTCGCTCCCTCAAATAGTCTTTCTCTGTGTCCATGAACAGGGATGTGAGACTGACCCCTTTTATCTCCTCGTCCTCTTCACGGCATCCTTGTCCTGTCCAGGTTGAAGGCGTGAGAGTTCCTTAATGTGGCTCTGCATTAGTGTGGAAGAGAGCAAGCATTACAATGACCTTTGCCGTCCAAACTAATGTTGATCTGTTTATACAGTCCAGTGCCCCCCGCCCACTCCCAACACAAGCACCTGTCGCCCCACTGGGGGAATGACAAATAGGACGAGGCGCTGCTGGAGTGCCATGAGGGAATGCGGAGTCAAGACAGTCTGTGTCCCTCGGGTCTGAGTCCCTTGTCCGAACATGACTCAAGTGTCAGGATGGCACTGTGACGACTGGGGTGAAACCCAGGCCAGGAGACCACGTCTATGTTAAAACTGTTTTACTTACCGATACGTTCTCAAAATTTACATTCTCTAGATTACTTGTATCAATGTAAAAATGGTGAAATGTTAACAAAAAGGTCCCATAACGTTTTATAAGGGCGATGGTTTAATTGTAACTGATTATTCCCTTTCATTTCGTTGGAGAATATTTCAACAAAGAGTTTTTTTTTCTTTGGACATGACGAACAAAGCATGAATTTCCCTCAAGCTACAGGTACTGCAGCCAATATGCAACTCAAAGGATTTGTTTGTGTCACATTTGAAAAAGGGCAAGCGAGGGATGAATGCGAACAACATCTGAGTTGTTGTGCTCCTTGCAGCATTTTATGGAGTCATTTATTTATTTTTTTGCTGCAGAAGGTTACAGAGCGGACAGAAGGCGGGGCCCAGCCCACCTTCTCTCTGCAGACAAGTGAGTGCAAATACTTTGAACATAAACTTTGTTTCACTCCTGTGAATGTTATGACAAGTTGCCGGATGGGGTCTATCTATAAATAAGTCTGTCTTGCTGTTGAATTATATACCGAGACATATGCTGTATGCATATCATTACTTTAGAGGGCAGAGCGAGTCATTTGCTTCTGGCGCAAGAGGATCTATGCCTGAGTCTGTTTAACAAAAACACTGACTAAGAAAAAGCTTCATTTTTAATGTAGCCTGGATCTGACCTTCGCAAGGCTGCATATTACAGAGAACAAATCAGCATATTTGCTGTGTGTTGGAGAAGAAAAAGAAAAGCTTCTTTATCTAACTTAGCACATTGACTGAAAACACAGCAGTACTAGAAACTTTGGATAGAGAGGTGTGGGGGTGGGGGGGGGCTAATGAAACTCCATTCTTCATTAAAGGGACACATACCCATGTGTCCCTTTAATGAGTCATAGTTGAAATGCAGATTTCAACTATGACTCGACAAGATGACTTGTCAAACAATGTAGTTCAAGTCAAAATTGAGTCACTACAGTCCCAAGTCCAAGGTCAAGTCAAGTCCTTCCCAAGTTTTTGGCAAGCAAGTCACATTTATTTATGTAGCCCTTCAATCACAAACAGTCTCAAAGGGCTTCACGTGCCCACAGTTGACAATTACAAATGACTCCTCTGACCTTAACTCCTAGGAGGGCAAGGAAAAACTCAAAAAAACCCATCTGGTGAAAAATGGGAAACCTTGAGAAGGGGCCGCAGATGGGAGAATCCAACTTCCAGGATGACCAGGCTGCAATCGATGGCAAGATTTGACACAATATGGTACTATAAAGTACAATGCTAATTAGGATAACATAAAAGTCCATTTAACAAGATGGAAATGCTGCGGGGAGATGCCTGTGGAAAGGTGGGTTGGTTGATGAAGAAATCTTCATAGCAGCGCCTCCGAGTGGTCGACCAAACGCTCGTCCAACTCTATCGGTGCAAATCATGTCCACATCGATTGCAGCAGAATCCGTACAGTGACATCTGGTTGGGTCATCATCGCCTAGCCCCCTGTCCATATCAGGAGGGGGGGTCACAAACAGAGGAAGCAGCATTCAAACAGGCCAACATGCAATTCAACTAAAAACAAGAATATACCAATGAGTCTTAAATTGGGGTTTAAACATTTCAAGTCCTAAAAATAGCAACTCGAGTCTGACTCGATTCAAGTCATGTGATACAAGTCCCCCATCTCTGATGCTAACATACATACAGTAATTTCAGCATTTATCGAATGGGACAGTCAAACACACCGATTCAAAATGAGAACACTCACAAGGAGCTGCAGTCAGTCAAAAGCCACATGCAAAAAACTGGCCAAGTTGGGCCTACCAGACTTCAGCTTCACTCTGTCACTCTCAACGGGGCCGTCATGTGTTCAAAAATTGTAGACCGACCGCCTTGGGCCGAAATGTTGTTGGCGAGAGGGTGCGGCAGTTACGTGGCGAAAAGTGATCGTCGACAGGACCGCTGTGGAAATACACAGTCCATTCGGGAAAATTCACATATTATCCTGCAATTCACGATGTCCATCCCACTCATGGTTACAATTCAGTGTTATTTTTGTTTTATAATTGGAAACATTTAACTGGTGTTTTTAGAGGCTTGGGACAACTTTACAAAATTATTTCATTTAAAAAATATTTTTATTCTTTGTCTTTTGATGCATCATGAGATTTGGCATTGTTTTTGTCTTATATATTTTTTTACTGTTATTTGTTATTAATATATTGTTTTAACTCTTTTTTTTTGTCAGACTTTTGTTTTTGTCAGTAGCGGTGGTTGTTTTTAACCCCGTGGCAGTGCGTTGAGTTGAGTGCCTGACCAATAGTGATGGGATTTTCGGCTCTTTTCGGTGATGCGGTTCATTTGGATCGGCTCGGTGAAAAGAGCCGGCTCTTTTTGGCTCTCAAACGGCTCTTTTAACTTTAGCTTTTCTTTTAAATATTTATGACAAATTTAGCATACATTTTGAGAAATGACTTGGTGAACTAAATATTGCACTCTACTGACTGCAAATAGCAACAATTATCAAGCAAAGAAATGGCTTTTTACTTTTTTTATTGAACATTAAAAAGGCCCCAAACAATAAACAAGCAACAAAATTAAACTTCCACCAACAACAATCAAACATGCTGGATCATAACAGAAATAGTGAGTATTAACTGCAACAGCAGCAGTGAACAAAACAAACATAAGCTACTCCTTGCTTTATTTTAACAAACATAAGCTACTCCTTGCTTTATTTTAAATTTGCAGTCAACAAAACTAAATACTTCAACTTGGAATACTTCAATTTGTCCAGTCTTTGAGAATACCCTATCTGACCGGACAGACGTTGCTACAATGCACGATCTACTCTCCATTACTTTGATCAAACGGGGATAGACGGAAGCTCGGTATTTCCACCAGCTCAGTGGATCAGCTGCCCTTGGAATCTGTGGTTCTTCAAGATATGCCCTAATTCAGTGTTTTGTGTTTTTGCACGCTTGGCTAATACTGTAAATTAGATTCCGATTATTACGACACGTTGCTCCTTTAATTTTGTTGTGACTCACTAAATCACTGGAAGTTATCGTAAAAAACAACGTCAGCAAAGGGGGCAGTGACCGAGCACGCCACCGACAAGTAGACCTCAGCTGTCAATCAAAAAGCAATCGCAAACAGCGTTTGACTTGAATACTATTCTGTATGTTTTCCACACCAAAGCTGCTATCAGCGGTGGAAGTGTGATGGCTTCACATCAGGGTGGGTAGATTTGTTTCAAAACTATTCCCACAAATGCACCCGTGCCTTTGTTAATTTGTTTTTCGAAAGGAGGTTGCTCATTGTACTTTAGGTGTGGCTAGAGAGCCGCGAGTGGATCGCTCAAACAGATGCATTGCGAGTGTGGGCACGTTTGGAAATGGACAGGTTGAAAGTAAGTCTGCCACTTTACGAATAATGACTCAAATTAAAAAGAAAAAAAGAAACAAATTTTTTTATGGACTACAGTTTGTGACTTTCCACTTTTGTTTTGTTTTTCTGCCTGACCAGATTAGTTAGATTACTGGGCCAAAGGCCCAGCCGCCAGACTCGGAGGATATGTGGAAGGGACGCCAACCTGCATTTGGACACGCGTGAGTACTGAGCTGTGTGGTGTGCTTGAAGAGCTGATGTCTGATGTCACATTGCACCACAAGGTGGAGGTGAGTGTGCCTGCCTGTCTGTCTCTCACTCAATTTAAACTTCTGCTTCGTGTACTGCACAACAGTGTCAACTCCACATAGACAACCCAAGCATCACCAAGCACTTCTGGAATATGTTTTTAAACCTTGAAGTGGACCAAGTTAGTTTAAAAATGTGTTTAATACACATACATATGACTAACTTGGCCTACTTCAATGTCATTTAAAAACTTGACCAGAAGAGTGTGATCATGTTGTTGTGGAGTACACGGCAGTTAGTTTTTGTCTCAGTGAGAGAAGTCGGATGTGCTCATGTCCCCCTTGGTGTGTCATGAGATGTCAGTGCCATCATGCATGAGCTGGTCAAGCACATGCTCCCATCTCAGGCCTGTCGTCAGTGTTTGTGTGCGTGCAACTTGAACTGGCCCACACAAAGATAGACTGGTCAAATGCTTTTACATTGTCATGTTCACTTTTCTGTCCAATAAATTGTTCAACTTGAATTCAAGTCTTTGCCTATCATGACCAAATCCATCCTCAACTCACTCGAAGCCTTTTCAAAGACTGAAGTCTTGAGCTCAGACTTGCGCTTCAGTCACATCAGACATTCTTTTCACTGTTCCCGTTGGTCTCCACATGACTTCAAACTCCAGGAATCGAGCTTTTGGGTCATGTGAAACCGACGGGAACAGTGAAAAGACTGTCTGATGTGACCCAAGTGCAAGTCTGAGCTCAAGACTTAAGTGGGACTTTGAAAAAGTGCTGCAATGCCCGCCCCAAACCACACCCAATTTGACATCCACCAATCGCTGTGAGGCCTGTCATTTGCATAACCCACACCATAATTTGCATAATCACGCCCACTTTCCCAATTTATGACCAATCAGATTGCTCCAAATATGTACAACCCCGCCCCCAAAGAGCCCACCAATCAGAGAACACCTAATTTGCATACCCCCTTTCCACCTATCACAGCATGTTATCGTCATGCTCCACCCACTTTCACAGCTATCAGCGAATCATCAGCCATCATTCCAGCCAGGCCACACCCACTTTCCTGGATTTTTCTGCCTGGAAAAAAAAATCAAGGAAAAAAAATTTTGGGAAAAAAAAATTAGAAAAAAATTCAGAAAAAAAGTTTAGAAAAAAACTGAAAATAATTTTGTTTTTTAAAATATATATTTTTTTAAAGTTAGATTGTGGTGATGTGTTTAAAAATTAAGTTGAGTTGAAGTGTTCTTTGTAATCAAGCTTTATTTCTTTTGCAGTTTAGATAATCACAAAAGCAGAGGAAAAAGTTGCAAGTTGGATGGCAGTCTGCTTGTTGCTGGGCGGTTAAGTGGTCAGCTCTTGAGAAGAACGTGGGACAGGTGTGTTGACCTGAGGGGAAAGGCATCTGTGAGTTACACGCGAGTCAATTTCTTGTGCAAAGATGTGTTGGGCATGAAACTTACCGGGGAGATAGACTGTTGGGTCTTTCGAGAGCAGGAAGCAGATCATGTTTATGCTGCCTGAGTGTAAATGTCTCCTACTTTTCAGGCTGGCCCAAAGTTTGACTTCAGCACCTTGCGAATAACAGGAAGAAGAGCAAAAAGTGTTGCCTGCAGGTCTGTGCTCGTAGGTGGACTCTGGCGATGAGCAAGTTACTCCCTCTTGTGGCACGGAGGACCCAAGAACAATCTTCCTTCAACTCTGAAATAGTAAGGCGTTTTTAGCCGAAAAAAACGACCATGTATAGTAAGGCGTTTTTAGCCCAATAAAACGACCATGTATTGGATCTGCTGCAAAAATTTCAAAAACGACCATGTATAGAAAGGCGTTTTTTGCCGAAAAAAACGACCATGGATAGTCAGGAGTTTTTAGCTGAAAAAAATGATTATGTATCGTAAGGCGTTTTAACCCGAAAAAAACGACCATGGATAGTCAGGAGTTTTTAGCTGAAAAAAATGATTATGTATCGTAAGGCGTTTTAACCCGAAAAAAACGACCATGGATAGTCAGGAGTTTTTAGCTGAAAAAAATGATTATGTATCGTAAGGCGTTTTAACCCGAAAAAAACGACCATGGATAGTCAGGAGTTTTTAGCTGAAAAAAATGATTATGTATCGTAAGGCGTTTTAACCCGAAAAAAACGACCATGGATAGTCAGGAGTTTTTAGCTGAAAAAAATGATTATGTATCGTAAGGCGTTTTAACCCGAAAAAAACGACCATGGATAGTCAGGAGTTTTTAGCTGAAAAAAATGATTATGTATCGTAAGGCGTTTTAACCCGAAAAAAACGACCATGGATAGTCAGGAGTTTTTAGCTGAAAAAAATGATTATGTATCGTAAGGCGTTTTAACCCGAAAAAAACGACCATGGATAGTCAGGAGTTTTTAGCTGAAAAAAATGATTATGTATCGTAAGGCGTTTTAACCCGAAAAAAACGACCATGGATAGTCAGGAGTTTTTAGCTGAAAAAAATGATTATGTATCGTAAGGCGTTTTAACCCGAAAAAAACGACCATGGATAGTCAGGAGTTTTTAGCTGAAAAAAACGACCACGTATAGTAAGGCGTTTTTATCGGAAAAAAACGACCATGGAAAGTCAGGAGTTTTTAGCTGAAAAAAATGATTATGTATCGTAAGGCGTTTTAACCCGAAAAAAACGACCATGTATAGTAAGGCGATTTTAGCCGAAAAAAAACGACCATGTATATAGTAAGGCGTTTTTAGCTCAAAAAAAGACCATGTATCGTAAGGCGTTTTTAGCCGAAAAAAAGACCATGTATCGTAAGGCGTTTTAACCCGAAAAAAAAACCGACCATGTATAGTAAGGCATTTTTAGCCGAAAAAAACGACCATGTACAGTAAGGCGTCTTTAGCTGAAAAAAAACGACCATGTATGTATAGCAAGGCGTTTTACGCCGAAAAAAACGACCACGTATAGGAAGGCGTTTTAACCCCACAAAAACGACCATGTATAATAAGGCGTTTTTAGCCGAAAAAAACGACCCTGTATAGTATGGTGTTTTGAGTCTAAAAAAACGACCACGTATAGCAAGGCGTTTTTAGCCGAAAAAAAGACCATGTATAGTGAGGCGTTTTTAGCCGAAAAAAACGACCATGTATAGTAAGGCGTTTTTAGCCGAAAAAAATGACCATGTATAGTAAGGCGTTTTAGCCGAAAAAAAACGACCATGTATAGTAAGGCGTTTTTAGCCGAAAAAAATGACCATGTATAGTAAGGCGTTTTAGCCGAAAAAAAACGACCATGTATAGTAAGGCGTTTTAAGCCTAAAAAAAAACACGACCATTTATAGTAACGCGTTTTTAGCCTAAAAAAACGACCATGTAGTATGGCGTTTTGAGCCGAAAAAAACAACCACGTATAGCAAGGCGTTGTAAACCGAAAAAAACGACCATGTATAGTAAGGCGTTTTTAGCCGAAAACAACAACCATGTATAGTAAGGCGTTTTTAGCCCAAAAAAAACCGACCATGTAGAGTAAGGCGTTTTGAGCCGAAAAAAACGACCATGTATAGTAAGGCGTTTTTAGCCGAAAAAAATGACCATGTATAGTAAGGCGTTTTAGCCGAAAAAAAACGACCATGTATAGTAAGGCGTTTTGAGCCGAAATAAATGACCATGTATAGTAAGGCATTTTTAGCTGAAAAAAACGACCATGTATAGTCAGGCGTTTTTTGCCGAAAAAAAATGACCATGTATAGTAAGGCATACATGCATAAAAGACATTCCGTGTCTTTTGTGCATTTTTTTTCACTTTTAAATTATCCTGCGGGCCTGATCAAACATCCTTGCGGGCCGGTTCCGGCCAGCGGGCTGTATGTATGACACCCCTGTTCTTGGCGATCGTGAATAAAGTGCAAATAAAACACCCATTACGCACACTACCAAAACGTGCAAGCCAACTTTATTCATTGTTTCAAGATGCTTTGTTGATCATGGCAACTTCACTGGAATAGTTGAGACGCAAGTCTTGTCTGGATGCTTGCGGGGTGCTCTCTGCTGGTCCCAACGGGGCCGGGGGCTGAAGAACCTGCAAAACCCAAAGGATCGCGGTGAAATCAAACTTCGTTTCAGATTGGGTAGGAAACATCGGATGACTTTCTGAGGGCCCCGATAACTTTTACCCCTCAAAGTATTCACTGTACAGTCAAACCTCGGTTTTCGAACGTCTCAGGTCAGAAACATTTCGGTCTCAAACTCCAGCAGAGGGCCCGCCATTGGCAAGGGGAAACAATAAACCCGATTTCGCTTTCCAATGTCAGCTAACAGCAGTAAGAATCATTGTAAAATTAGACCGCAAACAAGGTCTTTACGAAACGTAAGGGCGCCGTCTACTGGTGACCAATAGGAATGACAAACCTTCGACTGAAGTGGCTCTCAACTTTACAAGTACAGTCTCACCGAAAAAATACAACTCTCTGGGTACCTTTATCAGGTGCTGTCTCACCATGTTGGTCTTTGTCGTTGTGTTTACGATCATCTGGACGAGTTGGAACTGGGAAAGTCAATTCCTTAGTCTGTCTGTGGCTGCGCAGACGCGACGGAGCATGTCCTCAGCGAGCACTCTTTGTACCGGCTCGTTCGCGACCGACACATCACTACTGACCAACGACGTGAAACGCGCGACTAGCTTATGCCTTATGAGATTCTGCTATAAGATTATCCTTTTGTCTGAGTGCAAAGTTTGTTTTTCCTTCCATGTCCCCTTAGGGGCTCCGTATGATCAGAGTCGAGTTCTACCAATATTCGAGTCCAAGATAGGTCAGAGACGAGAATCTTAAACGTGTTCAATCTTTACGACGAAAAATCTTGTGGGTGGGGAAAGTAGACGAAAATTTCGAAGCTCTTTTTTTCTAGTAAACCCTGACTGCAGAGCGCAGTTCAAAGCGTGGCTCACTGTGGGGTGGACCTAAACATTACATTCTCAACCTTTACGTCCCTTGTCTTTACGTTTTCCCCCAATTAACACTGTGTTTAACATTGAAAATTACATAATATCGACTGACCAAAAACCAAATACTAACCTCAAGCATACAGGGAGTGCGCCCTCTGCTAGGGACATGTGGTACTGCACCCATCTCACTCATTTTTATGTGGAGGATGTCTTTTGACCACAACTTTTGCTGACCCACTGCTCATCCCGAATGGACATCAAAATTGCCATTTCGACTATTTTTGTCAAACAATTAAATTCGCCGCGCTCCGACTGA